GGGGGGGGGGGATTAATGGGGGTCCGCTGTTAGAGTTGTTGTTTTTTTTTCATTGGGGGCGGCAGATTAGTGGGGGGAGGGGGGGTCCGTTGTAAGACATGTTTGTTTTTTGTTAATGTTTGTTTCTTTGTTGTTGTTTTTTGGGGGGTTTTTTGTGTGTGGGGGGGGGTGCATTTTCACAGAAGTTTTTTCAGAAATTGTCAGTGTAGTTTGTCAAAGGAGGGGAGGGGTCAGTCTCTCCCTTGCTCTGACATCGGTGCACTCACGGCCTCGTCCAGGTTGCGCTTGTTCTTCATCGTCTGTATCGTCCGGGCGTCGACCTCGTGGCGCTTCACCATCATGCTCTCGGCTGTGGGCGAGACAAGTTCACTTGGACATCAAGAGGGTGGACCTACTGTCCTTGGCGAAATCGGACGGTGGAACCACTCTACCGGGTGTCATCGGACGGTGGAACTACTCTACCGGGTGTCATCGGACAGTGGAACTACTCTACCGGGTGTCATCGGACAGTGGAACTACTCTACCGGGTGTCATCGGACGGCGGAACTACTCTACCGGGTGTCATCGGACGGTGGAACTACTCTACCGGGTGTCATCGGACAGTGGAACTACTCTACCGGGTGTCTCCGGACGGTGGGACTAGTGTACCAAGGGAAATCAGATCATGGAACTACTGTACGAAGGGAAATCAGAAGATGGAACTACTGTACCAAGAGAAATCAGATGATGGAACTACTGTACGAAGGGAAATCAGAAGATGGAACTACTGTACCAAGAGAAATCAGATGATGGAACTACTGTACCAAGAGAAATCAGATGATGGAACTACTGTACCATGAGAAATCAGATGATGGAACTACTGTACCAAGAGAAATCAGAAGATGGAACTACTGTACCAAGAGAAATCAGAAGATGGAACTACTGTACCAAGAGAAATCAGATGATGGAACTACTGTACCAAGAGAAATCAGAAGATGGAACTACTGTAACACGAGAAATCAGAAGATGGAACTACTGTACCAAGAGAAATCAGATGATGGAACTACTGTACCAAGAGAAATCAAATGATGGAACTACTGTACCATGAGAAATCAGATGATGGAACTACTGTACCAAGAGAAATCAGAAGATGGAACTACTGTACCAAGAGAAATCAGAAGATGGAACTACTGTACCATGAGAAATTAGAAGATGGAACTACTGTACAAAGAGAAATCAGATGATGGAACTACTGTACGAAGGGAAATCAGAAGATGGAACTACTGTACCAAGAGAAATCAGATGATGTAACTACTTTAACACGAGAAATCAGATGATGGAAATACTGTAAAAAGAGAAATCAACTGATGGAACTACTGTACCAAGAGAAATCAGATGATGGAAATACTGTAACAAGAGAAATCAGATGATGGAACTACTGTACCAAGAGAAATCAGATGATGGAACTACTGTACCAAGAGAAATCAGATGATGGAACTACTGTACCAAGAGAAATCAGATGATGGAACTACTGTACCAAGAGAAATCAGATGATGGAACTACTGTACCAAGAGAAATCAGATGATGGAACTACTGTACCAAG